TAATAAAAGTTGTTCTAATGTGTCAGCATTAATATTACATCTAAATTTAGTCCTCGTTTTCGCAACAACACTAAAAATCCTCACATTCTCACACTCCACATTACTATGGGAAACTGTCAAGATGGCCAACATAATTCTAGACAGTTCACTATATTTTAAAATTCTATCAAAACCTTTCAGTTTTCCAATTAAACTCCACTAGGTGTCAATCCTAGCTTATTTTATAACTTCATCCAAGTTTTCTGATTGTAAACTGCAAAATTGCGACTGCAATATATCAGTGGCAACATCAATATCATCATCATCTTTCATGACTAAATGAAGTAACACAGGAAATCTGTTCAAAAAGTACTTTATATCAGAAAAAGATGCATTTGCTAGAGCAGAAACATCAGCAACTTTAGCATGCAAAATCACTTCATCGTTGACTGGAAATTTTATGTAATCACATACTCGACAGAAGTAACTTCTGTCTGTCGACTTCTAACATGAAGATAAAACTTATTTTTGTCTTCTTCTGAAAGTTCTTCTACTACTTTTGTAGTTGCAGCTCCTATTACCAAATCTTCATCTTTCTTCTGATTTTCTATTTCACCATAAATCACATCATATATAGAATTACACTACAAAACACAGACTGGTCTTACAAACTTTGATAAAATGTCTTTAAACAGATCATAAATAATTGATTGCAAACATGAATTAATGGAATTCTGCTTTGTAGAACTGTGTTAAGAACATCGAATGATGGCAAAATGAATTGTAAAAAAAAAGCAAAAAGCTTTGTTAGGGTCCGAAGAAAAAAACATAAATATTCGTTCTTCACAAGATAAACTTACAGTAATCGGAAAATGTTTCATGAGTTGAGCAATTTTTTTTATTTTGAGAGAAATTTCTATCAGCTTTACGCTTATATTTTGCAGTATTATTTTGAGAACTGCCAGTTGAATTGCTGAATGGTGCAGAAATTACTTTATTTTTCTCAAACCTATTTTTAACAATGGAAGTAATAACTGCATCTCCTTTACTTTAGGTATTTTATAACTTTCAATAGAGCCGTTTATCTTAACTCTCGAAGCATTTACTTCTTCTTTAAAAAATGCAAGAACTAGGTTCCATTGATTCAGGATTCTAGATGAGCATTTCTTTAAAGACAACCAGCGTGTACACACATGTTTAAAAAATTTTTCTCATTTCAGTATTATGCAGCTGTTGAACTGTTTCAATTTTTCCTTCCTTTTAGAACTCCTTTCAAGATAATAATAAATATCAACAATGTGTTCATCCACATTTATTGGTAAAGAAGCCGCCCCTTTTTCAGTTGCAAAATTTAAGAGGTGACAGGTGCACCTCATAATCTGCATATCTGAATTTTCCTTTCTTAAGATGCCTGCAACACCAGTCTTCAAGCCTACCATTACTGGTGCATTACCGGCACCAAGTGCTAAGCAATTATCCAGAAGGACTGCATTTTCTTTTTTAAAGTTTTAATAATTAGCTGTGCTATATTAAAGCCTGTCGAATGTCCTTCTAAAGTGGGAACAGAAAGTAAATTGCACTCAATTTCTGAAGACTCTGGATTAAAAAAAGAAACAACAATTGGATACAGTTTTGAATCGGTATTATTGCTTCCATCCGTAGAGAGGCAGAACGGAGCTGTTTTTAATGCAATCAATAGCTGAAGATTTATTTTTCAAACCCATTTCTTTAACAATTGCACCTGTTTTGGTCCTTGCACTAGAGTATTTCTTAGCGATTTCACTATCGGGAAACATTTTTCTAAATAAAGCTGCAACGTGATCCGATGCATTCAGTGGCAGGTTGTGCTCCAGTAAAAAGGCAGAGAACAGACATTCTGCATGAATAGCTTTTTGGTCCTTTGTTTCCGAAGAAAAATTTAATTTTTCGTTTTTTTCGAAACAACTCACGTTGTCCTTGTGTTTTTATGTACGCACATGTTTGAGAACATCTGCCCTTCCACCATGCAAAATCGAAAAATCGCAAATTTATTACATTTCCTTGAGGAAATAATGGAAGGAAAGTCAACTGTGTACGATTTTTGAAACGTACACGAGTATTTCACCTCTCTCGCACACATTAGAAAAGATGATAATTTCTAAAAACTATTTCCCGAAGTACTCGCACAATTCAGGACAAGATGAACGAAATAACGAAAGAACATCCCAATAACAGCCTTGAACTTGCTTTGTGCTCATTGGCTAATATATGCCAGATGACACACAGTGGAGCTCGATGCTCATTGGAGAACTGCAGAACGACGTTTCTGGATACGTATGCTCTCACTCACAAAGCAGAAATTCTCATCTGATTCGCAAGGTTTTGTTTTAGATATAATCTACAAAAAAATAAATTGCTTTCAGACGTCCAAAATCTTTTTTTTTTTTTTTTTTTTTTTTTAGTTCATATAACGAAGTATTAAGCCAAGTTCCATAAAAATCGTGAGAAATTTTAAGAATAAGAAAAAGTCGGGAGAAATATATTGTAAATCGGGTTGGCAGGAGAGCGGTCGAAAATCGGGAGTCTCCCGCCTAAATCGGGAGAGTTGGCAACTCTGCATTTACTTTAGTATCTGTAAAGTACATAGAGACTTTTTAGGTAAATTTTTATTATTGTGGAGACCCTGAAAACTTTAATAAACAATAAATTCTCAGTTTTGTTCAATTACTTTCTTCTTTAGGTACAGGAAATTTCGCTCTCAATGAGCTCTTCAAATTTAATGCACAAGAAACCATTTACGAATTATTTGACAGTCTGCAAAGAATTGAATCTTGCGTTTTTCAGAGAAATTTGAAATAACCTAACAGACAAAAATCTGAAGACGCAAGATCAAGTGAGTCACAGAAACTTCCTTGCCATCCTCAGCAAACAACCTTTGCAAATACATTGAAACGTAGGGCCTATCAATGTTGCAACAGAATCATGAAATACATTAGCTCGATAAATGGTCAATTCCAGGCGCTTTATATCAATTTCTGCTTGCAAAACTGACAGCTAAAAAAAATTATTTATCAGAATTAATGAAAAGAAGTTCACATTTGAAGGTCAATGAAAAAGACGAACTTATTTAGCTTATCGCATGATTTTTTTTCCCTTCAAACCACTGCTATAAAGGATTCATTTCCTATCCCTATAATGAGACATTTCAAGAAAAAAGTTTCTTCATTTCATTTTAATTATGAATCACAAGCCAAAATGAGCAAGCATAGTGTTAAAATGCAGGTACTCACAAACAGCTGCAGTTCAGATCATCAAGTATCTTTAAATGATTATGTACAATGTTTTTTAGAATATTTATTTTGTCTGCTGATTGAGTAGCATAATTAGGTTTTTAATCACGAGTTCTTTAAGAGACCATTAAGACTATCCTGTTTTTTAGTATTATCTTTGAGGCTTAAAGTTCCACACATTAACAGTTATGAATTTATCATCAGAAATAGCACTTTGTCCTTATGCTGAGAACATTTTACAAGTTGTTTGACTAGATTTTTTCTTTTCCCAAATGAAATATAATATTAAAAAAAATCAAGTTTTTGATCATACAATTTTTGAATTAATGCATTGAAATAAAAATAATATCACCATATGTGTGAAAATATGACACACTGCAAGCAGTAAAACTGTTTTTTCTTATCAGCTGTAATCAGAATTACTCTTAGTAAACAGTAACAAAAAATTAGTGGGAAAAAAAGAAGTGAATATGAAAACTGGAAAACATTTTGGGTTATCCAACACATCTCAGGAAGGTTACTGAATATATAACAGTTGTCCAGCTGAATTAACATCAGCATCACATCTGGTATATATCATGCCTAGAAAGCTGAAAAGTTTGAGAAAGCATACTATTTCTAATCCTTAGGTAATCTACATGCTAAAAAACTCAAACTGACTTTCACACAGCATTCAGCTCACTATAGTAGACTTATATGTTGTAGATTTTAATTGATAACACAGTGTCCCAAGTGACTTACTAATCTATCTAAATGACTGGAACTTATCTTACTATCTAAATGACTGGAACTAATTATTCACTACCTAAGTGACATAATTATTCAAACAACAATGGATTGTGGAGTAGTAAAAGCTCTCTTTATAACAGGTTGCCTTTAAGGTTCTTGTTTTAGCTCACTTATTGGGACCTAAGAATTAATACTGCCTTTTCTCTATTTTAAACAATTTTTGATTTGTATATAAATCTATATGGATGATTTCCTATTAGAAGAACTGGTATCCTAAAGAAGAGTCCAGGAATCTAAATGTAAAACCTTTTGAAAATGCACTGCAACTACCTCCTCATTTTACAACTTCCCTCGGGAAATCAAAGCTCTTACAGCAGAGCACAGTGTACCACTCATACAAGGATAAACCTAATCTTTTCAATGACGAATCATCTATCTATGCTAATTAAAAAATAACCATCAATGACAAGTTGTTTTGGCTGTGATGTGAAAAATGAAAAAGTTAAACTCACAGGTCTTCTACTACACATGCTTAAAATAAATGCATTAGCTTTGAGCATTTACTCACCTCTCCCAAAGCTATAATAATAACACTGTTGCATAATTATCAGTAATTCATGGATCTGCCATTATGATAATGTTTCTAAATTCATTAGTTGAAGGCTCTTATTTAATGCTAAGCAACTATTAGACACTGCCTTAAAATATTTTGCACTCACAATAGAGAGGTGTTTATCAAATACTATAATGCTTAGAATTTCTCTAAGGCGTCTTAATAAAAAGGCTGCATATGACTATTAAAATAATATTTACTCTAAAATTAAACAATATTTTGCTAGTTGCTAAAACTGAAAAGACTTAACAAGCCAAACTTGGTTTGTAATGCGAAAAAGAACCCACACATCTTGGTACTCCTGCATGAATCATTCCCTATGTTCACCTCATTGTAAGAATCATCTATGGGTCAAAAACATAAAAAGGATTCATAATACATTTTTAATTCCTGATTAAAATGCCATAAAATAGTAATTAAAAAGATTTATTTACAGTATGCTTTTACAGATATGGAGGTCTAAATTTATGTTGAATTTAGAGGTGAAAAATTACTCAAAGGTAAATCAAGGAAATGCTTGTCTTGACCTTTTTGCCTCATTTGCAACTTTACAGTGCGTACTATATTCAGCTTTCCAGATTCATTCTGAGCACTTAAGGGATTTTCTATATCCTCTATTGTTACATGAACAGAACAACCTTTTTTAATTAGCTGTTTCTCATGAGCAGCAGCTAACTGATTAATTACTCGCCTCTCTACCTGCAAAAGATTAAATATATATGTATATAGCATAAAAACATTTTTACATTCTTGAATGAAGTATTAGCGAAATAATAATGATAATACTATTTATAAAAATATTGAGTCCTTGTTAGAAAAAGAGAGAATGGATTATGAAATGCAATTATAACACACAACTGATGCCGAATTCACATAAACTCTCAAATTAAACCAAAGTATAACAGAATGGTATTAAAAACAACTTTACAACTTTTTTTAAACCTCTCTTTTGATATGCTTAGCATAACATTATAAGTTCAAGTTTAACCTTGCATAACCTAAGAAGCATAACCTAAGAAAAATACTAAAAGACTGATACTTAAAATCATGAAATATAAGTAGTTTGCTTCTGTCACAAATATCAATTTTATTGCATTACTGCATTTAAATGAATGCAATAATGCATTTTTATTGAATTGTTAATATTTTATATGGGAGTTGTTTTGTAGAACTTAAATATAAAGATGGGAATGAAGATGAATAAAATTAGATACATAATCTTTTATACTATTTACCACAGTGGTCCTTCATTTAACCTAATTCAGTTTGTATGGAGGTATGAAAAAACACCAATCTGCTTGACTTATTTTTAAATTAAATTGAGAACTGTACCTAATTTTTCAATTTCCTCTTTTTACCTTATGCAATATGAATTCCATGCATAAATATATTTAGCATCAGTGATACAGGAATATAATTAAAATTTGTTGTACATTGCTATTAAAGGTAATAAGTCCTACCTACAACGAATGTATACATTATACTCTCAATTATCTGAGTAGAGATTATCCGTGCATGACAGTACACAATACTAACTGTTAGAGTAACTAACTGTCGGTTAACAATAATAATTGCGTAAAAAACAAACATGTGCAAGTCAAAGCATGCTCTAAAAACTGCTTAAATGCATTTTTAGGTTTAGTTTCAATGACTACCTTGTACAGTTCATTTTGCATGTCATTAGTTGAAGGCACTGTTTCAGATGATCACTAGGGCTTTTTTTATTTCATAAATATTTTTATGGATATTTTCTTCTTTTTTTTTTTTTTTCCAATACAATCATTTTCATTCAATCTGAATGCAACATTAAAATAGTATTTCAAGAAATAAGCAGTAAAATTTGATAAATATTTAAACACTCTTCAAAAACCAAGTCACATTACCAATTTTTTTAAGAATCAAGTACATATAATATGCATGAAAACTGAGAGTTTGGATTATTCATGTTTTTCTATTATCTGTGACCTGCTTCCCTAGCATTAACCTGTATAATTGACAGTACACTGTATATGAAAAACATGCAAAATTCTTTCCTAATTACATAGAAAATAAAGCACATTTATTATACTCACTTCATGTTTTATAGACCTAGCACCATAATGTATATCGTAACCATCAGAAAGTGTAACCAGGACTTCTTTATCCCAAGTTAATTCAATGCCATGCCTTTCCTTTGCCTAAAATGTCAAAACATACACATGATTTAAAGAGAAAATTTCTACAGACGCTAATATAAGTTTTATTATAAAAATAACATTAAATTACATCCTTATTAACTAGAAGTCATTTAATTACCTTATTTGCCCACAGTTCTAATTCTTTTTGTACTAGCTTTATAAGCTCTGATTTGGAAAAAGGAAGGAAATAAATTATTTCGTTGATACGACCTAAAAATTCATCTCTACGAAAATGTTTCTGAAAAATAAAAATGTACGATATTAATAAAAGACACAGGATAGAAAATAACACATAAAGTGAATAGCACCTTACACCTTAATGTCACATCCATTCCACTAATTCGAGAAAGCTGTAATTTTTTGTTTGTTAGTTTAAAAACAGAGTAATTTATAAGTACGTTATCTAAGACTTAAAATAAATGCTAATAATAAAAAATTTTTATGTTTTCAAATCAATACCCATAATATAAAATAACATTAAGAAGGAAGTTAAGATAGAGCTAAATATTAATTGTTAAATTTTAGAAATTTAAAATACAGAAGTTTGAAGACAATCACATTAAATCACATTACTTTTGTAGAAAGGAATCTGCTGTGTGGCAGACAGCTTCATTCTCAAATCGCTAAGACTTCTTAATCTATCATAACAATTAAAGAAGGTAAACATAAACCTTTTAGCATTAAAATTGAAATGGAACATTTTGGTGAAGAATATCTTCAATGCTTCCATTGCAAGTGGACCTCGAGGTGATTTTCACATGAAATTCATTCAGTCTGTGCAACAATGCATAAAATACACAAATCACCTTTCTCTTCTTTGTCATATGCATCTTCACTGATTCTAGAAGTATTTTCTCTACAGATCATGTTGCAATGTATGACATTAAATATGGAGCATTATCTGGCCATATTAACAAATCTTAATTATGAAGGACAATTCTACCATTAATGCTTCTACAATTGGAACCCATAACTTGCACCTGAACGCTGTAATAATTTTATTCTTTTACCACCTATCTTGAGAACAAAGCTGCTACCATATAGCATGTTTCCTCTTTTCACAAGAAACACATGTTTTGGAGTCCTGACCCATTCACATTCGATTTTCCATAATACTGCACAGCTTAATAAATGTTTATTTCCTGTAATTTAGTTTCTATAACCATGTTTCCCAGCTACTGACTTTTGTACCTGTAACTATTTGTTCAGTATTATAGGTTAAGCAACAAATTGCTAATTTGGAAACTATGATTGTGTTGATTTATAAAAGCTTTTAATTCAAAACGAAACATTTCGTTATGTAACAAGATAACAAAATAGGTAAATGTCCTATAAATATAGTACTAAAACGGTTCATCCAATTATCAAAATAATTTAGCTCTTTTTCTGGACGGAAAGAAATTAAGGAAGAAAGAAATGGAGAACAGAAAACAGTGTTAAAAGCTAAATTGTTAAAAAATATTCCAAACTAAATAGCATATTTATTACAGTATTTCTGTTGAGAATGAGAGGAAAAAAAGGTATTAAGTTAAGAAATATAGAAGCCAAAGAATATTTTTTTGGAAATATTTCTATTTTGAAAGAGGGGGAGGTATTAAATTAAGAAATAAAGTTAAATATTTAATAAGTTATAGGAAGAAATCAGATTTTTAATACAATTTAGAAATTTTGGAAAATATGAAGTGTCTTTAAATATTAAATTCTAAAGAATGAAAGAAAAATTATATAGCTTCTGAACAGGTAATACTCAAAAGTATATGCAATATAATATGCTTAAAAATTATCCATATGATAATTTTTTGTATCATATATACCATGTCCAGCATTTTCTGTACACTATGGTTCATACATATATGTAATAAACGTAAATGGATTACAGTTATATAAGCTTAATATAGTGAGATACAACGTTAGTATGATGAGAAAATTTCAAATGATTATATTGAATATTTTCAGTAATTTAAAAATTTAGAATATTATGGAAATATTTTAATACCTTAAAGAGTATAATTCTTTACTGGATCACTAAAACATTGTTGTAGTTACCTGTTCACTAATCCTGTGTTGCGTGACATGCTTTTGCATCTTTAGTGACATTACATTCATGGCACTTTATTAGGTTAATATTAGGTTAACAATGTCACTCTATGGCGTTATATTAAAGCCATAATGTGTCATTATATGAATGTTGCAGTGCGACTTCACAACAATATTACAGTGTAACTTCACAACAAAGTTGCAGCGTGACTTCACATCAAAGTCCCAATCTGACTTCACATCAATGTCGCAAAAAGCGGACATTAAGCCATATTTACAACGTAACTGCGACATTGAGATTGTCACGTTTGCAATGTCATAGCAACACTGCTGTGCTATTGGAGTATCGTAAAGAATGTTTTTATATCTGCACATAGTAGCTGCAATAGACATTGCCAGCTGAATTACATTTACTAGATAATCCAATGAAGCAAAAATAGCTATGCTTCCTGAAACTCTCATTAATGTTTTTTTTTTTTTTTTTTTTTTTTTTTTTTTGTGTGTGTGTGTGTGTGTGTGTGTACTGTGTCCCTCCAAAGTTTCAGGGAACAGTCTGGTCTTAGAACTGCTAAGCATACTTGGATGATGAACATTGATCAGTTTTCTGATGATGCTATTAATACCATGATGAAAGTCACAACAGTTCCAAGAAATGATGCTGGCAATTAGGAATGTTTAAATTTTCTGTGCTCTTTCTTGGTCATATTGGTTAGCAGATATTTGGGGTGATTCAGCCCCTCTTCTTTTTCCATGTTACCTGAGTCTAGTGGCTCTGCATACATGCTTTCACTTGTTTCAGACTTGTTACTTGGACTTCTAGGTTTTTCTGATGTTTAATTTTTTATAATTTTCTAATTTACTTTGGGTTGCTGCTTCTTTTGTCTGAGGAGGCATTACAGGCTTTTTTAATCACATTTCTCATTATCATTAGGTTCTTGCTACTTAGGTAATGGATTTTTAAAATTACTGAATACTGTTTGAGTAGATATTGTTCTAGTTGATTTAGTGGCAATGGTACAGCAATGTTAACTTCTATTTTCGTATGTCCGAGAAAAGAAGACGATTGTTTTAAAAATCTCATTTTTATCGACAAGTCTCCAGATCTTACTCTTTTTACATTTCGATGTCCATAATATTAGAACTTGTGTATGAGAAATAGAGACATTTTTTGCAATCATAGGAAATAGATTCAGATTCTTGGACAAAGTGCTAATGTTTGCTTGCATGAATGCTTGTCTGGCTTCTGCAAAGTATTAAACACTTAAGCCATTAAATATATAAAAATATTCTTTATAATGTACACTAATAGCGTGTAAGTTTACAGAAAAATACATTAATTAAATATGCATGTGTATGCATTGTTAATGTACTGTATATTTTAGCAATATCCATGATGTTAATAAAAAAATCTAAATGAAATGCTACATACTTTTAAAATAGGATGAACCACATTTTCCTTAAAAGCCTTTGAAATAGTAACTCTTTCAATCATTTCTACATCATCTAAAGAAAAAGAATAGAACTTTATAAAAATTTCAAAAACACTGTATGCATTTCATATTTATCCCAGAATTAAAACACACAATATATATATATATAGATATAGATAGATAGATATAGATATCAGTCTTGGCATACATTTAGAATGTTCCCTAAATGAGCAGCATTTACTCATGGCAAATATTTTAGTAATATATCCATTCTTCACAAGAGAAAAAAAAAGTATTTCTAAATGAAACATAAACTATTAGTATTCTGTTAGTATTACCACTCATTTTCGGAAGAGATGGTCTGGAAAAAAAGATCTGCAGGACGGTTGCCATGAGAAATTTTGCCAAATATTTAATAACAATGCTAAAAACATTTAAGATGGGAAGAATATGATTGAAAAACAAACTATGTTATGATAATATTACACAATTTTGATCTGAAATAAATTTCTAAGAACTGATATGTACATTCTACTTTTAAGCAGTGAAAAAGCAAGTACATGAAAGTTATTAATTGGAAAGCTGCAGCTTAAAGATTTGTGGTGGACTCACATTGGCTCCACTAGATGGCAGCACAGGCAATAAGCTTCTGATGAGACTGCATGAACCTATAAGAAATAGACCAACCCAAATGGTTTTTCTCTCTCTTCTGACACATTGCGGGCTGTCACCTTGATCACATCCGGAGGAGTAGGCATGACTTGCAGAAACTTACAATGGTTGTCTATTGCAGTGTGTATAATTGTCAAGAAAAAGGTCAAAAAAAGAAAAAGGTTGGTTTTAACGCCTCATTTCACAAATTAGAATTTTTAGATATTTTTATTTTTGAAACTGAGATTGATTTTTAAAAATTTAGCATATTTATAAAGCATAATTAACGTTCCAAATAATTATAAAGCTGTTACAAGCTTTCAGGCCTGGCTATTTTTTTAGCTCTTCCTATGCTGTAAGGAAATTTGTAACTACTTCTTTTAGAAAATAATATTTTAAATCTTAACTAATAGAAAATTTCAAGCAAAGAATTTTCTCTTATAATTTTTATGCTTTTTATTGGTGTAAATAAGTAAAAAATACTAAAATACCTAAAAATGAATTTTTTGTAAAATTTTTGCTTAAAATTCTAAGTTGTGCTGCTTTTTCAAGATTATAGGTGAATATTATAGCATATTTTTTATAAAGGAGTTTTATTTCAATTATATTTCACAATACATCATAGTCATAAACAATTTTAGCACCTTAATAATTTTTATACATTTATTCTAATGTCAAAATTGTAAACTGTAATAACTGATTGTGCAAACATTTTGTAGTGATTATTTTTTTAAATTTAATTCTAGTTCTGCATAAAATTTTTTTTATTTGCTGTGAATTTAATTTATTAGATCTAAGGAGCGGTAGTCGAGAAAGGCTATTACTTTCGAAACGACATTTTGCACTGTTTCATTATAAATGTCCGTTTCACTTTGCAAATTGTTGCCACTAAATATTATCGCCTTGTATTTAAAGAAATTTAATAATAAATAATCAGCATGAATACATGTATGTTTTTTCATATTGTGAAAAAAACGACAGTATCTAGAGCCATCAAATTTTGAACAACATAATCCTCCACCCGAACAGCCGAATTTCGAATTTGTTTTAATCCATTTCATATTTTGTAAAACTTTAATGAATTTTTGATTAAGAAACTCAATGAGTTCAAAGCGAGCAATGGCAACACTGTATGGAAAATAACATTTTTATCTCCAGCACGGAAATTCTAAAGATATGCTGTTTTCAAATATTTTGTGATACTGCTGTTGAATTGAACTTGTGTGGTTTACGTGTGAAGATCATGATATTCAATAAATAGAGGTAACACACAAAGCTTTAAAAAAGTCCCTTTGAGCATAACATAAAATCTGAGTGCTTCCAGATTTTATTTATTTATTTTCATTACACTGAGAAAAGCTTATACACCGTATTTTATGAATTATTAAAATAAATAATCATCATATGATGTTAATAATTAATAATCATATGATCAAATAAATGATCGGCTTGTAATGTTATAATAATTTTATAAACCACTGCCTGAAAATGCTCATAAAATTTAAAAATATATATATCAGATCTTGTTTAATTTTGCTTTATTTGTTTCAAAGCTTCATGTGTACTATCATTCTTATTTAATTTTACTTTATTTGTACTCGAAAGTAAGTTAATAAATTTTGTGTTTAGAGTTTTTACACTTTTACCAAAGTAAAGATGTTTATACAAGACTTATGTGTGAAAAGAGTGTGCAAAATGCAGTAAAAAGTGCTTTAAAGAGATATATTAAGTTTTTTTTTTTTTTTTTTTTTTTTTTTTTTTTTGAAAAAACTCTGATCTTTATTATTTCATCACTTATACAACGTATCACATTTAATAATTAAAAACAATTATGTGATACAAATGCCATAGGTTTCAGTGTTAAAGTAAACTAGATCGTCCTTACTCTTTCTTGCGGACGGGGGGGGGGGGCACGCGCCCCGCACACTGGGTTAGTCTATCTCTTATAAGGTCCATGTGAGACAGTGCCTGACATCACTAATACTTCCTCTATCACCCTAGTACAGCGGTTCTCAACCTTTTGACTAACACGTACTATCTAAACAAAAATTGAAAACATTTAGTACCACCATTCTTGAACGAAGCTCAGATCCAATAAATTTATAAGTGTTAGGGAAAAAAAACTTAATCAGGATGTCTGAGTTTTAACTTTTGAATTTAAAAGTTAAAAATACTTTGCATCTTTGCATTCCACCTATTTTTCTCTTGCATATCACCAGTTGAGAACCCTTGCTTTAGTAGCAAAAGAACATGCTTCTACTTGAACATATTGCTACTACCAGAATTTGCACAAAACTGGCATCTGCAATTATGTGTTTTGTACCACGTTCTTTGTAATAATTAAATGTTATTTCAAAGTGAGTCAGTTAATTTTATTTATAAAACCTGTGAGTGTATATGCCAGGGTTGGCCAAACTTCATGTCAGTAAGAGCCGCATGTCTGAATTGAAAAATGTTCGAGAGCCGCATCTAGATTTTCTAAAAGCCACAAGTTCATATTTACATCATTATAGAAAGAGTGGAGGAAGTTTTAAATAGAAAGAAATCCCTGATAACTTTGTAAAAAGAGTCTAAACTAATTAATTTCTTCTTTTTGGACACTGAATAGTTTTAGTTTACCATATTTTATACATATATTTTATATGCACGAGCCGCACAAATTGCCTGCGAGAGCCATATCAGGCTCGCGAGCTGCACTTTGGCCACCCCTGGTATATACGATTTTTGTGCTTAATTAATCTCAGTGATCAGGGTTTGTTGGAAATTAACAATCCAATAGATTAAGTATACATTTAATTTGTATAAATAATATAATCTAAAAATCTTTATTGTCTATTAAATGGATTTGATGTGAGTTGTGATCTGCACCAATCACAATCTGCTGCTAAAAGATACAAAAGCAAATGCTAAATAAATATAATTTACAAAAACTATAAAACTATTAAAATTTACATAATTTAATCTAAGAAGTTAAAGATTTATAAAAAAAAAATACAAATGTACATAAAAATAAAAAGTAAAGGACACAGTTTTTTTTTTTTTTTTTTTTAAATATGGGGTAAATACTTATTAGTTCGGATTTCCTTAGTACCATATTGAAAGCAATGACTGTGATCAAAATTACATAAAAGTTTATCTGAATAGCTTCTATATGGAATACTAAAAAAATTACTCAAGTAGAATATAAAAGGTTTCTTAGATTTGAATTAATCATTTCAAAATTAAAGTCATTATTGTCAATATGGTACAACATTTTCTGTTGAAGATAAATTACTAAATATTCTGCCCTCCTTGCAGTTCATTTTTTTACAAACTAAACTCTTAACCCATTTTCAGATTTTTATGAATTTTTCTTCACCCTGTATACACAAATACTACATGAAGCATCATTTGAATGAGAAGACATCATTTTATAAAATAGAACTCAGCAGCTCACTTGCTTCATTTCTTCCATTACAATCATATAACATTTTTGGAAAAATAGAGAAGTTACTGATGTAACACAAATTAATTTGAAGTCTTTACAATATATATATATATATATTTTTTTTTACTTAATCTGATTCACAGTTCAAAATTATTAATTTGAGTTTTCCACTTATATTATCAAAAATTAATTATGCAGTTTTTAATACCATTACATAAAAATGAAAAATCACATACAGCATAGCAATTGATTAAAATACTGAAAAATCAAAATTATTAAACATTTTCCAATAAGAAATAGACCATTTTGCAATGCATCACAATTTTCAATATGTAAGTACCTTTAGTAACTCTTCTTAGAAAATTATTATACATGATATAAACAAATATATTTAATTTACAACACAGAGGGCTTTTTACCAATATTATCATTATATCGTTGTTTGGCAATTTCTTCAGCTTCAGCTCGCAACTGCATTGCATGTGATGCAATTTCATCACTTGCTAAGTTAGAAGTCATGATAAAAATTGCATCTTTACATTCAACAGTTTTGCCTTTCCCATCAGTAAGACGGCCCTTTAAAATATTAAAAAATTAATACATGATTCTGCATTTGCTTTAGCACAGTAATATTCAATAAAATTTTTAAAATATTAAAAGGTTATCATATTTTTTTTATTTAGGCCCTTCCTCTTGAAACAAATAATAGTATTATTTTAATAGTCTGTGTACATAGACATACTAAAAATGCGTATATATAGTAGGGGGAAAAGATACATTTAATTTAAAATTTCTGCACTGAAGCTGCAAAAGATTGAATTAAAAGCTGGAAATTAAAAAACTATTAATCACCCTATGTTTCATGCTTCAAACAGACTGAAGTGTTTTTCTTTTAAAACAAATTCCAAAACTTTTGTTTAATACTTCAAAATTTTCAAGAGGTTTAATGTTTGAAGGATAAACAAGTGCTGAACACACATTTCGTTCTTCCTGCCACTATACAACTCAAACCAACGTTAATAAATTGTTCTCAAATGCAAAATAATATTTCTGACAGTCTCAAAATGCCAAGAAGTACCCCAAACATGATGTTCAAGATCTTATTAGTTAAAAGCAAAGAATAAAAGTAAATTCAACACCAAACTACATTGAAATGTTAATAATACAAAAGCATAATTTACATAAAGACAAAAACCTAGAAAAACTGTACACAAAAACATTCAAAAATGTTATTCTTGAATCAACTATGACAACATACGAATGAGTTTTATAAACACCATTAAAAAAGAGTGAAGCATTAATAACATAAAAAACTAAAATCTTAACTTCTAAAATTTGTGATATGTTGTTGACACCATAAAAACTAATCATTTTGAAGAAACCGTAAAAAAAAAAATAATAATGTCTATCCTTCTTACCTGAAACTTAACAAGACGAACCAACAGCAGGAAAATAATAATTATTTAGATTTGCATATTTTAATATATAAATTAATATAATAATTATATTTTTAAATATAAATTTAAATTAATAAATATATATATAACATAATTATTATATTTTAAATTACAAAAAAAAAAAAAAAAAAATCAAAATTAGGAGGATTTTGTAGAAAAGGAAGGGATTTAATTTCAATATTACTAAATTCACCATCTGGCATTCTAACATTTAAAAAAAAAGTAATTTTAAATAATATTCACACTCAATTGCTAAAAATTAAAAATGTTTGCAATGATATTAACTTTTTCAAGAAGATATTTGACTTTTAATAAATCTACTTATTGAAAACGGGACTTCCAAAATTCAAATTCACCAAACACTAAAAAAAGTATCCATTAACTATAATATGTAAATTGCATGCTAACAGATATATGATAAATTTACCGTAAATCAGAAGGCAAGTTATAAAATATGGTGATAAGATTCCTCATCTGCCTAAGTGCAAATGAATGAGTTAAGATATGGTAACTTATCTTATTACCATACTTATCTTATTTATTTACACTTAGCAGATTCTATAATTAAACCATTGAAACTAGATCTGCAAAATTTACAAATATTAAGCTGATTCTTATTGTTTGACTTACCCAATAATTATTATTCCAATTGTTATTTTAACCTAAGTCAGAGATTATGTTTAAAATTTCAAATGAACTTCACTTAAAACTCTCCTCCCCTTCCCGTATTTCATGATGCAAAAAGTAAAATTCCAACATTTTGTAGAATCATTAGGTTATTTTGATGCTGAAGACGTGAAAAATGAGCAATGCCTTCACTTGAACTCGAACTTGGATCTCTCAAATAGGCGCTGAGTGTGCTAACCTTTACACCACAAAGGCATGCAGCAAGGAAGGAGAAAATACCTTATACAGTCAAAAGTCGCTAATCCGAACTCGTCGGGACTTCGGCGATTCCGGATTATCAATTTTCCGCATTATAGATCATCAGTTTAAATCTGGTAAGATGGCATGCAGAAATTATAAATATAAAAATATGAAACCGTGATTTATGAAATAAAGAACAATTATGATCTAAAGGGCATCAAAATTTACAAAAAGAAAAGCTTAATATTTATTTGTTTACTTTATTAAACATTTCTTTCAATGTAATTTGTTTAAGTTTGCTTCGTTTCATGTGATAATACTTTCTCTTTAATTCTATTAAACAGCATAATTTCTTCTTTAGTTACAAAGTTCCGCTATTCAAGTCCTATAATTGCTGTGTCGAGAATACCGACTAATTTGTCGATCGAAATTTTTTCGTTTTCAATAACCCTGCGTCACTTCTTCACTATCGGAAGCGAATTATAATGACGAGGAACTTGATTTAAATCATATCAAAGACGGAATACATCGAGATGAAATACTACATTTAGTAAGGAATTATAAGCCAAATAAAATATAAACATCTGCCCTGAAGATAAGGATAGTGCTGACAGATCAAGTTCCAACTCATTGCGCGCCGCGTCGTTTTCCTCCCCCCGCAGAGCAGCGTGAAATTGATAAACATATTTCGGAATGATTAGATAATCAAAGGATATGCCTTTATCCATTTTTTGCAGCAATTCCACTTTCTGTTTAATGGACTTCGAAACATACTTTTGCTTTTACATATTAGTAAATATATATCGGAAATTCTATTTGACATAATCGAAAGTTCAAGTTTACTTTTATAAAATTGCTCTAACAGTCTGCAAAAAATAATAAGCCGGATCCAATTCGAAGATTAAGGAACAACGCAATCTGCAATATTAACTGAATTAGATAATTTTTAGCTTAGCTTATACCGTCCGTTATACATTAAAACGCGCATGCGCACACGCATATGCGCAGCCGTAAAGGTCTTCCGAGCACGCGTAAACGCCTATGCGCATGTGTCAACGCGACGCATGCGCAGAAAGTTTGTAGCTTTGAGGTCCGGATTATAGATCATTCCGTATTATGGGTGTCGGAATTAACGACTTTTGACTGTATACTTCTTGCTTGTAGACGTACGGTTTTCAATTTATGAATTGAATCAGATAAGGTAAATTTTCAGACTAAGGCAATTTCGATCACATGGCATCCTTGAGTAAAACAATACGAAATATGAAATTTAAGATGAATTCTTTACAGTAAAAATTCCAATTCAGGAAGTTGTTCATTGAAACCCACGCTTCTGCATTAATACTTTTCTGACACAATAGGTATTTAGATATTTCTTTCAGAAGGTTTAAGATGCAACTGTTTTTAGCAATATTTGTATACTGCTCCCAGAACTTTCAATGAAAGATATCTCAAGATATTTTGACTATAAGAAGATGGATAGTTTTGATTGATGTCATCCAGCAACAAGAAACAATATCTTACTGTCTTTTTTTCTTTCAAGTCCACATTAAAATTTTATTAGTGTGTATTTCTTTAATTAAATGTATTACGATGTAAGATATTTGGTCTTTCTCTATTGTAACTTGTCACCAAACCTCAATAAGACTTTAAGCGAGTTATCGCTATGTATTAGAAGTACTACAGAGACTTTTCATTTTAAACTAAAATAGATACAAACAGACATCATACCTGATACATATATCAGCCAGCATTCATTGCGAGAACTCAAATGGCATTTATGGCGAGAAATTCAAATGTAAAACTATCAAATTCTGCAGTTGTAAAACAAATAACACAGACACTTAAAAAATTTTCAAAAGATATATTGACCTTGAAGAAAACTGTATGTATGTCAACAAAACTTTTTTGCTTTCTTATTTAAGTCGGAAATTTAAAATGTAGGCCTAAAATATTTACTTATTTAAGTTATATACTGTAACAGCATGGAAAAAGTTCTTGTTTGATATAAATAATGATAAAAAATTCTAATCAGTATTCATTATTAATAAGCTGTAATTAAACAACCAATAATTGAAATTTTCAGAATCTTTAGTTCTTTGATGAAAGTACTAAAAGCATTTTGCTTTGAACCATAGCAAAAATTATAAAATTTCTAATCTTCCTCATTTCAGAGGCCGTACGACGTTCATTCTTCAACGAGCATGGAAGAAATTCACGGTTTAATGCATAACACATGCTTGCACTTTCCCAAGCACGTTGACCGGAGATTTGCAAATCTTATTCAACAGGTGAGTCATTTGCGGAATAGAAAGGCTATAAAATTTATAATTTGCTTCTGGATATTAATGACTCATGAAAGCTTGTCTTGTCTATGAAGAGATTTTTAACGCATTGTTTGCACTTTAAAAATATTCTGTTAATTCGTCCAATTGGGGAGAATTTAGACTTAAAAAGAAAAAATACTAGTAGCATAAGTTTTTATGTATTAACTACTTCTGGACGACTGAAATATATCTCAAAACGGGAACTGCTATAGCAAGTGAAATAAAACACAAGAAATTACACATAATGCGTAACATCTTATCTATCTTTGTTTAAGTAAAGTAGAACTAATTGCTTCGAAATTATATTCCCATGCCTACCATACCTCTTTAGAGATATTTATTAATAGCCTATTTTATGCTTGTTGCAAGTTGATAATGCTTCTAAATTTAATTAGAATAAGTTTAAAAAGCATTTTAATAGCATGGCAAAATTTTTTCATTTTCTTACAAAGAGGGATTTATTTGCAGTTTTATTATGGCTTTTAAACGGTGAAAACGCAAACAATTAATTACACGTAAATACCAGTCTGAGTGGTCAACAAAAACGGGCGGAGCAGGAAAAATTATTAGAGGAGAGGCTTCATCCAGTCGTATAGGGAAGCGTTGCTTGTAGCAACTCCAGTTTCTTTTTACCTTCATGGTTAAAACCTCCGACGGCCAACTCGGTTTCCACCGCTGACGGTAAAATATCAGTTGCTGTAGTTTTGTTTGGTTTATTTGATTATGGTAAAGCACGCGAAAGCTATCTGTCTAAAGGAATGGATGCCTTTATGGAGGAATTTCTAAGTAAAACTTGCTCGTATCCATGCTAACATGCCAAAAACCCGATAACGACCATGCAGCAGCCATTTCACCTGGAATCGAATGCATGTGACGCGGCCAATGTGCAGCAATTTTTACCTTTCAG